GATAAAAATACAAAAAAAATAAATTTTAAATTGATTAAATTTTTTTTTTTTTTTTTAAAAAAAAACATGATTGAATTTTTTTTTTTTTTTTTTTGAATATTCAATCATGTCACATTGATTAATTTACATATTGATGATTTTGCTATATATGCATGATGTAATGAACATATATAGCAAAATAGTATTAAAACAAATATGCAAATGAACTTATAATGAGCTTAATTATAGATGGATGACAATAATGTATGTGTGTGTAGGAGTGTGAAGAAGAAAAAACAAAAAATTTCAAAAAAAATGAACGATGATGGCTGAACCTATATGATGTTGTGTTTAGACAAGATAAAGGCCAAGAGAGAGAGAGAGAGAGAGAGAGAGAGAGAGAGAAAAGTGCGAAATTTCAAACTTGTTATACTTGTATATGTTGTGTTATGAAGAAAAAAAATATGCCGTCTTGCGTGATTGAGTTTGCGCTTGAAGCGACCATCCATTATCTATTTTTTTTCCCAATATAATAATGATGATGATGATGTATACTGTTGATGATGTTTGAGGTGGGCTGATACAATAGACGATGGAGAGAGAGGGAAATGTAAAAAAAAAATCAAAATTAAAATTGCGCATAAACACCATTTACCATAGACCCGAAAAAAACCAATGTGAAGAAAAAGAAAAAAATAATAATCAAAATGACAACAACAGAATGAATTACCGCTACATACACACTATGATCATTGATTCGGTTAAAAATATATAACCAAAAGTATATTCCCGAACATAACCAGCCTACAAATAAAAAAAAACAAACAGAATTTTCTGTGTATGTACACTCAATATGTGCTTATATATATTTATTTGGAAGGGAACCATAGAATTTCTTGTGTCGCCCGACAATTGTGTGTTGTTGTATAACACTACTACTAATTGTGTGATCATAATATTCGACAATTCTTTCTTCACATATACTTGTGTACATACACACAAGCAATAATAAAAAAAAAAAGATTATCATTATATATAAATGGCTGTAAAATAATGTTGAAAAAAAACGACTCATCTTTCCTTAAGGAAATAAACAAGGATCCGGCAAGTAGGCAGATATTTTATATTAAAAGAAGGTTGAACCATTAGGTACCTCCTTTTGCACAAACTCGGTTTAGAGTTTTATTTTTTTCTTTTCCAATCTTGAATTGGTCATACAACTTAAAGGATACATCCGAAAAGAAAACATCATATTCTCATTGATCTAATGATAGATAATGGTATACATTTACCCAAAAGATAATATCTAATATCTATCAAAAATGTTATGTAATAATCATTTGGATATTAAATCAGCATTGATTATGTAATCATTAAAATCTTTATCAATAAAATTTAGTTATTTTTTTTGCAAATTTCTAAACATGTTATTTTGTTTTCATTTTTTTTAACCTTATAGATGGCAAATGTTGACAATCTTTCATCAGAAGATTATATGCAGGAATTTTCCAATATTGATTTGAATGCATTCGAAGAACCATTAACAAATATTCATAAACTTTCATTAGTGACAAAAATGGATCAACATTTAGGCAATGTGTTAGCATGTGTTAATCAAACATCAATGTCACAATCATCGACAATGTGCAATAATAGTATGGTCAACGGGAATAGTATGGTACATAATATTCCCAATAATTTAAATGATCATCATAAACATTCGCAACTAACAACATTAAATTCGACGGACAATTCTTCGACAACGACTACACCAATGCGACATTCACCAATTGAAACGGCATCAGCATTCACATCCATTTCCAGTTCGAACATGGCCACACCAATTATCGCTCCAGCAATGATTGATTCCAGCAATAGAATGAGTTTTGTCGATGAAAGCCATAATATGCCATGGTTGGCGTTTAGAAGTAACAATGGACTTTTAAGCGGTGCACCAGATGGCCCATTAGATCTACGTGGTCAAACAGGAACGGAGATTGATTCAAGTTGGATGTCGTCATCAATGAAACGAGAATATTTGGATATGTCAGCACACACTAGTTACATGAATCATCCAATGGCTAATGGTGTACACAATCGATTAGTTCATGGTAACAATATTTTTATGAATAGTGGTGGAATGAGCACAATTGATACGAATAATCAGATTCATGGTGATACGGTACCAACGGGTAGTCAACTAGCTGGCACACATCCATCACATTTGACATCGCATCATCATAGTTCACATGATTTGCATATTTTACAAAATGGTAGCTCATTATCGGGCCATGGCCATCATAGTGTTCAATCATTGAATCATTCACCACAAAATTCATCAACAATGCATACAATGATGCATTCATATCCACATATGAATGATAACGCTAATACATATCCTTATCCGATTAGCCACCACCATCATCATCATCATTTAATGTCTGGATCATCAGCAACAACGAATACTAATAATAATAACACCGGCAATAATCAATTTTCCATCAACAATGACCATCATAATAATAATAATAGTCATTTAGTGTCGACGAAAAGTACCAACAACAATGAAACGGCTACTCAACATGATCATCATCATCAGCATCAGCCTCAACATCATCATCATCATCACGCCAAAAGCATTAGTAATGGAAGCAATAGCAATACTAGTAGCAATAGTAGTCAAAGTAGTCGAACCAGTAATGATTCAAATCAAAGTAGTGAATCTAATGTTAGCAATGAATTCAATATATCGGCAAATAATGGTAGTTCGATTAGATCGATTAATTGTGATATTGATGATAGTCAACTCATACATTTATCGGTACGTGAGCTTAACAAAAAATTAAATGGACTAACTAAAGAAGCCATCTCAAAAGTGAAAGCCAAACGACGTACATTAAAAAATCGTGGTTATGCACAAAATTGTCGCACAAAACGTATGGAACAACGAAGAAATTTAGAAGATCAATTAAAAGATTTGATTGCTGAAAAACAAACATTACAAATGAGATTGAATTCATTTCAAATGGAAAATGTTACATTAAGAGAAGAGAATAAAAATTTAAGCCAAAAAATTAAATATTGTACACAATATCATTCACAATTAAATGATACAATAACACATCATTTAAATGCCCATCATCATTATTCATCACATGAATCATCACACCATCATCAATCGGTTGGACAGCAGCAAGTGGTCAGTACAACATCGGGTACACCAAATTCTAATGAAGCTCATCATGAATGTTCAAGTTCATCAAGCGGTAGTACAACACCAAATTCAATTCTTTATGATTATAATGGCTAAACACATTTTGGATTTCCAGAGTTCAATCTTGATGGATTATATCGATACGATCAAAAAAACAAAAACAAAAAAAAATGTTTCCCACCAAATTCTACCGATACCAACACCAAGCATCAAAAATTATTCATCAACCCACCCAAATGCAAAATTCATATCCATATATAAAAAAACAATGTTGACGTTTGATCTCTTCTTTTTTTTGCTTGTCACATTAGCTTTGAAAAAAGGCTTGCAAAAAAAAAAATTCAATTATTGTTCATTATCATTATTGGTGTATTATATAACAAAATATGAATGATGATAGAAGCCGTAATGATTTTCTTTATTTTGTTTTTTTTTGTTTCTTCTGTCTTTTTTCTTTTCCGTTTTATTTTTCATTTCGTTGCTTCCGTTGTTCAAAACGACCAATTTTTTTTCTGTTTGTTTGTTTGTTAAAAAAAAACAAAAACACAAAAACACACACATCATTTTGATTTTGATTTATATATTTATTATTATAATTGAATCAATTAATTTAATTTAATTTATTATTATTTAATAATTTTTATTTCGTAAAAAAATGAATAAATTTTCAACAAAAAAAAATTACACAAAATGAAACAAAAAAAAAACGTTCGAAATTGATTCATAAATGACATGACGCGTAGCAGATTGCGAAAAAAACAAAACAAAACAAAGAAGAATTTTACCATTTTCTTTCGTTTGTTGTATCATTTTTTTTTTGTTTTTTGTTATTGTGCCAATGGACAATTCAAACGAGTGTTTTATATGTAAATGTTTTAATTAAAACCGAATAACAGGATTTCTATCCCCGGTACACACACAAACAGACATACAAGGATGTTTCAATGAGCAAAAAAAAAATGAATGACAATTAAAAAAAATTGATACAACCAACAATAAAATCATTTCATTTTTTGTGGATATAATTAAAAAAAAACATTGGGAATGAACAAAAAAAAATTAGCATGTGATTAATTTTTTTTTCCATCATTTTCTCTTGATCAAACACAATCAGAATGGAAGGGCCAAATGAGTGAAAAACAAAAAACAAAAACATATTCCAAAAGTGGAGGGGAGAAATAGTGAGTGAGTGAGTGAGAGGATGAGGAAAAAAGGTTTTTTTTTGTTTTAAACATCCTTTATATGATTGTTTCACATTGATGTTATGCTAGAATTTTTTTTTGTCATGAAACATGAAATGAATCGAAATGTAGACCAAAATAGTGTTAAACCAAAGAATTTAAGAGGGGAAAAACGAACCAAAAAAAAAAACAAACGAACAAAATTCGAACGAATGTAGGGCGTTGATATTAATGAGACACACAAACATTGAATGAAACAAACACCACAAAAAAAAATTACCGTAATTTCGCACATACATACCGCATGATATATGTATACACCGCACCTCCCCCCGTATTGATAAAGCATCTTGACAAAATTCTGTAAAAAAAATTCGTTAGTATAGTCCGCATCCAAACTAAATTGTGCGAAATTACGATAAAAGGCCCAAGACCTCAAAAATACAAAATACCAAAAAAAAACTTCAAGAATGATTGAAAAAAAAACAATAGGAAACAAAACATGTGAGCGAATGATGATGATGATGATGAAAAAAATTGCTTGATCATCACATTATTGAAATTGGCTTGTTTTAAGCTCAATGATTTTACAATGGAAACATTCACAAACAAACACACAAAGATAGATAGATAGAAGTCCAGTTTTTGATACGATTGAATTCTATTCTCGAAAAAAATAACTATAGTCCCTTGCATAGTTTTCATTCAAGAATCTGATTGTATATTATTACAGTTTTCTGGTTTTTTTTTTTGATTACGCGATCAATTAGATGCTATAGCTGTTCATTTGATCATTTGGTCTTGGAATTAGATTTTAGTTTGTTGTTGTTGTTGTTGTTTTTTTCCCAAAAATAAAATCGATATAATCACAGTCATTTTTTTGTGGATGTTAATAATAACCAATAACAATAAATGAAAGAAACCAGAAGGATTGAAAATTAGTTGGAAAAAAAAAATTCGGTTACTGAATATTTTGATATCGGTGAAAAATTTGTTTGAATTGTGGCCGAATATTTATATAAAGCTTTTGATCCTAATTATTTTCTACCAAAAACACAACCATTCTGTATACTGGAAAAACATTTATACAAACAACAACAAAAACAACAACAACAAGATAAAGATAAAATCTAGACAAATAAATGATGATCATCATTAGTTTATTATTATAAACTAATTTTCATTCAAAATGATGAGGGATAAATAACAACTAGAATTTACCGAACGGTGAAAGAAAAAAAAAATCTATGCTAATGAGAAAAATTCTTATTGTTTTTTTTTCAACCACTGGAATAACCACCAAAAAAAATTGGAATTGGAAAAAAAAATATCTAAACCATTTTCATCAACTGTCAAAACAAAATTTTTTCCCCCTCTCCCGTTATATAAATCTTATTTACTCATGAGAGCCGTAAAACATACATTTAACAACGACAACAACAACAACAAGAATATGAAACAAAACAACAGACGATGAAAGACGACATTCATTGCAAAACAAAAACAAAAAAAAATGCATCGAGGGTAACCATATTACTTTATTCCATACGGTTAAATTATTCCGTTACCCACAAACAAAAAAAAAACACTAAATATAACTTCTTTTTTTTTGACGATTAAATTAGTTTCAGCTTGATTCAGTTTTAGTTTTCTTATTTTATTTATTTATTTATTTTTTTAAAATTCTTTAGGGTCGTTGTCGTTGTGTCGATCATCACACAATTCACTATTATTATCATGTTCGTGTTGTTCGTTTATTGCAGTTGTTTTTTTGCTTTACCGGGGGAAAAACGAAAAATCTTTTTTCTTTTTTTTTTTTGTTGACGACAAACAGCCGATCCTGATTCCCAGGCGATTTTCTTTTCTTTTTCTTTTTTTATCAATTCTGTGGTTCACCTAATCGTGTGTGTGTGTGTATGTGTGTTTAATTTATATGCACGTCAATCAACAACAGCCAAAAAAAAACAAGCATTTTTGACTTTATCGTTATATAATCAACTATAATAAATAACAACAACAACAACAACGAAAAACAAAAATGAATGAATAAATGAAGAATCTCCCATTAATTCATAGCTATAAGCTACAAATAACTATGTTGATCAAGGATCAATTATAATGATGATGATGACAATGATCAAACCGTCAACTGATCAAACCAACTACACACACACACACACAAATTGGACAATTAAATGGCCAGAACAAAAAATTGATTGTTTTCGGTTATATTTTTTGTTGGTGTATGTTTTCTTGTAAGCAACGGATATTTATCTATTTTTTTTTGTCTTCACTAATTATGTCTACAACTTGTATTTGTTTGTTTCTTATCATTTTAGCCAACGCCTTATTGTTGTTGTTGTTTATTCGGGGAGAAGAAAACAAACATAGAGTTTGATGGTGTTATTATTATTTTTCGCTCATTAAAAAAAACTATCCAAAACCAATAATTATCAATATTAATCATGTGAATCATTTTTTTTTTTTCACAGAATAAAAAACTCTAAATCAATATATGATCGAATTTCAAAAATAGAAAGAATTTTCAAAGAATATTTTTGCTAGCGTTTATTTTCACAAATTCCATCGAAATTCCATTTGAAATCTAAAGATTTTTTTGTTTGGTTTGTCTTCGTAACCAGATTAAATGACAAAATAAAAAATATAAAAAATTTGTCATTTGTGTTGGACCCAAATGATTCGATGTAAGTATGCGATTCTTTTTCTTCTTTTTCTTTTTCTTTTTCTTTTTCTGAATCAACTGATAGTCAAATCACGTATTTATAAGGCAATAACGCATTCACACATTATACACAATATGTTTCAATGTTTTTTTTTATTTTGGTGGTGGTTTGTTAAATTAAAATTGGTGTAAATTACTGAACAATGAAAGTAAAAAGGAAGAAAAAATAAAACTCAGATGTACCACACACTCACACATGATACAATCTGTTTCATAAAATAAAATGAAGACGAACTGTATGTGAAAAAAAAGCAAAAAAAACTAAAACTGGAAAATCAATAGAATATCGTGACAAACAAGGAGAGTATAGTGAGGGAAAAGGGGGAAGAAATATTCATTCAAACTAACTATTATTATTTTGCCATTGTATTTTGGTGGTTAATGTTTAATCCCGATCAAAAATAAAAAATAAATCTCTCCCATTCTGGTTGTTTTTACAAAAAAAAATGTATCCATGATACCCGGCACATACATACACAGACAAACAGACACGAACACGTACAGTTATGATAACCGTTATTGAATTGATTTATCAGAAACAAGGAAGAAATCAAAAGAAAAAAAAATGGGGAAACAAAATGTTCGTATTGTAAAATATGACATTGGTTTTTTTTATATTTCTTCTTTCACTTCTTTTCTATGTACATGCCGGGTCAATTCCAAGTTTTAATTCGAATAATTTTTCAAGAGTAATCCAATATGGTTACACACTGAGAATCTGGACAAATAATGATCCGACAAACAAAAAAAACATCCATTCATTCATTCATTCATTAATAATAATAATGGATATACCATTGGTGTCAAATATTGTTTAACAACAACAAAAAAAACAAATAAAATTGTTGGAAAGAAATTTTGTTTTCATTGACAATAATAATAAAAAAACAAACAAACAGTAAATCATATCCATAACCGATAAATTGACTATAGCAAAAAAATAAACTTGGAATTTTACTTGGCCATTGTTTTACACACACACACAAAAACGAAAAAGAAATAAATAGGCTTTGATTTCAAAGAAACAAAAACAAAACATTTTATTTGAAATTTAAACCAAAGAAGAAAACAAAATATTGACTATAGTTGTGGTCAATGAAATTTTCTGTTTTCTTCACAATTCTGTCAAAAGAAACAGAATCACGATGAATAATGTCATTCGACAATGGTAACATTTTCAATCCACCAATCATTCAATAATAATAATAATCATCATCATAGTGTTATGTTAAATGAACCAAATGGTTTCTTTTTCCATTTATGTATTAAAGAAATGGAAAATAAAACACTCAAGTAATCAGTAGCCGGAAAAAAAAATTTAACCACACACGATTTTTTGTTTCTTTAAATTCATTTATAATCATAATATTCTGGTTAAGAATCATGAAAATGGGAAATATACCAATAGACAAAAACTATGTGAATACAATTGTTTGTTTGTTGTTGTTTTTTTCCCAAAAGTTTTATGAATGAACTGGATTTATATAACAGCCAAGAAAAGAAAAGAAAAAATTCAAATTGAAAACATTCAAACATTTGAGAATAAAGAAAAACAATCATTAAACATTTTGAATTAGAAAAACCGACAAACAAATGAATGAATTCTTTATTTATTTGTTTGTTTGTGTGTGAGTGCTTAGTTTTTTTTGTTTTGTTTTTCCATCACCAAAAAAAAGTGTATGCACTAAAAATGTGTCGAACCATCATCATCATCATCATCATTATAAGGATGTTTATTGATGGTGATGTTATATCATCAACAACATTGAGATGTTGAAATAGACATAAATATCGCCAAGTAATTATATTTGATTTACTTCCGACATATACTTTAACATTTCGGCATTGTTTTTAAGAAATATTTTTAAAAATAAAAATAAATTTTTCACAAGAAGAAGAAAAAATTATCAAAAGAATTTTTTTTTTGTTCAAATTCTTTATGTTTTTTTTTGGTGTGATTAATAATCATCACAAACATTTTAGAATTACAAAATATTTTTGAAAACCGAATAGAATCTGCACCGTACCGGAACGTTAACTTTAAAAAAATCTAAACTTTTAAATTGTAAAGATTTTCAAAATTGTATCGTTAGAAAAAGAAAAATTTGAATTGAATTGATTCACACTTTATACACACACAGAGACATGCACACAGAATCAAGAATCTAATCATTTTGTCGAACCATAATCCAATATATCTACTTGAGCCCAAACATAATAATAATAATTGAGTACACACTGACACACTTGGGCAACAAAAAAAAAACTTTTTAAAAAGAATTTTTTTGCTACACACTCTACCCTTTTTTTTTGGTTGCAAAAATCATTCTTGTGGAATCGAGGGTCATACGTGCCAGTCTATGTGTGTGTGCGTGTTCATGTTAGAATATGAATTAGGTGAGAAAAGAAGAGAATCTGATCTATTATGTCAATATAATTTTGAATTTGGAAAAAATAGAATTTCAATTGAATTTTGAACTACAAAATTGTGTAAAGATTGTATTGAATAAAAGAAAAATATGAATTTTATTGAATTGATAATTTTACAAGCAAACAAGATGTGTTTGTGAACATTATTATTATTATTTTTTTTCTTGTGGTGAATTTTTCTTTTCCAAAATTCCATTTTATTTATTCTATATAGAATTCTGAATACATTTATTGTTTATGTAAATATCAATGCAAAAAAAAATATTCTCGACAATTTAATCTCTTTTCAAACCACAAATTAGTTTGGTTAGTCAATGTTAAGTAGATTTGATTGTGTAAAAAAAAATAAATAAAAATAACAAAAAACAATGAAATGATAATAAAAAATATGAGTTTTTTTCCGTTCGAATGGAACACGCGTTCGGTAATTTCAAATGTAATAAAATAAATAAACAAAGATGAGTTTTGTATTGTTTCATATATGTAAATTATGGTAGATATATAGACCAAGACAGAAAAAAAATAAAAAATAAACTTTTGTCATTTATGTCGAATATATAACATCAACAAGGGACTAATCATAAATGAAAATGACACAACCAAACAAACAACAATCTCATCAGTACTTTTTTTTTGTTATTTCTATGGATTAATAATAATAATAATAAAAAGCTAAGATTCTCTATTATCTAAGTTATGTTTTTTTCTCTCTAATTCTATACATCAGAACAAAATAATAATAATGGTGACAAATAACAACAATTCTATTGTGCAATGGCAAGTTTTATTTATTTCAAAAATTAGATTATCATTGATTGATACTAATGAAGTTTGTTGTTTTCCACGGACATTGATGATGATGATGATGGTCATTGGGACAATTTTTGATGGTGTATATATTTTGTAAGTAATTTATGTATTTCCATCAACAACTGATCATCAACAATTATTGCCATCGTCATTGAAGCGCAAGATAATATTATATTCGAATATATAGTTTATTCGATTATATTCACTTACAATGAATTTTGTTCATAATTGTTTATCGATGATGATGATGATCAAAAAATCAAAGAATGAACAAATGTTTCTTTGTATATCAATATCATTAGCTCTAATGGATCGACAACAACAACAACAACAAAAGAAGAGAAATGGATCTACATGATGACATTAGGAAGCAAACAAAACAAAAAAATTCATTTTGGAATTCAAATGAGAAAATGAATCGAACAAAACATACATAATGCACGATTCAGCAACAATAGATTAATTAGTACTCGATTCTTTCTATGTGTGTGAATGGACACACTAGAATGAACTGGGATTCACTCTCTCGAGACAATGTGTGTATGTCCATCTAGCTATTAATCGCGGCCAAAAAAAAAAAACATTTAAATTAATGATGATGATCACAGTCACAACTATTGTTAACACTATTGTTACGAATTTTTTTTCCATCATTGAAATGATGATGATGATGTAAACTTCATTGGTGTTAATTGTTAATCGATAATCAACATCATTTGTTGTGACCTTTTTTTCTATCCCTTTGCTATCTTACTGATAGCGAAACATTAACAATAGAAACAATCGAAATGAACACAAATTAATCATCAATGATTGATTTTGATCAGAATTTTCTTAAATTTTATTCTCTCTTTAATTTATATGTGAATTGAGGTTTGTGAATACATGCATTTGTATACAAAAAAAAAAAATTGTGTAATAGTAAATGTTTAACATTTTTTTTCCATGATTATTTAGCTCAAATTTGAATCGTACAAACATTATTACGATCAATGCTTGAAACATCTGAACGAGTTATTGTTTGTCGTCTATGTTCTCGATGATTATTTTCAATATTCGAAACGTTCGATAGCACTGTTTCATCGAAAAAGTTTTCGTCACCCGTATCCAATTCGACATTCTCCATATCAACTGAGATGGGAAAATATACCAATGCATCACGATCTTCTTGTTCCTCATCACTAATCAAAATGAAAAATTTAATTAGAATTTATTATTGTTTAAAGTCTAATAGAAACATACCTACTAAGAAATACATCATTACTGTGAGGGGTGACAACATCGATTACGGCATCTTCTTCATCGGTCGCACCCATATCTTTGTTCGGATCTTCTTTATCTTCATCATAATCATCAAATTCAGATTCCTTTTCTTCATATTCAATGTTTTCTTCTAATTCTTTGAAATCTGGAGCAAATGCTGACCAGTTTTCGATTTGAGCTTGAGACCAAATAGACACCACTCCACTTGCAATGGAAACAATAACCGGTCGTATTGGATGCCATATTACATCGCAAACAACTTCTCCTTTGGTACCATGTAAAATCTTCAACAAAGTTCCAACATTACGTTCCCAAATGTATAAAGAATTCTGTCTAGAAGAACCGGCACAAATGTAATCAGATTCGGCACCCCCGGAAAAACAACATTTTTTCCAGATCGTTCTATTGACCAAATCTTGTAATTTTTGAATAGGCTCTGGGTCAAGTTTAAAATCATTTCCCATTGTTATATTATTTCCTTTTCGTCCTTTGGTATTAGCAGAATCATTGGCAAGTATGCTGGCTGAATCATAAACTCGAATGATTCGATCGGCACTATTGACCAAAAAGATGTTTTTATTTTTAGGCGCGAATTCTATTTGTTTGATTGCAGTGTTCGAAACCCTGAAGGATGTGACGATCGAAAAATTTATACTGCCTTTTTCCAAACGAATCACCTGTATTCGGCCCTTGGTGTTGCCAGAAAACACGTATTCTCCTCTTCGATCGAATGATGAAACTACATCGAATTCCGACTCTTCATCGTGAGGTATTTTTGAATGAGCAATCGATTTAGCTGGAACAAAATGAACAAAATGATTTACAAAATTCATAGTTATGATTTATCAAAAATCAATACCTGTACCGTCGGAAGAAATTTGATATTGAACTAAATGTGATGGTTGCTTCATGGAATGTATAAGTAGAATATGATGATTTCGTGGTGAAAACTGTACAGATGAAACACATGTATTTAGATGCCATCTAATTATTGGTTGTGATTTCAAAACATCCCAAACATAAACATAGCAATCATTGGAAGAAGTGGCTAACAATTTTCCGTTTCGAGACCAAGATAATGATGTTACCGGCAAAACATGTGCCGTAATCATTTTGGCAACACCACGAGTCAAAAAATCCCATATAAAAACAAGACCATCGTTACAACCAACAGCCAACACAGAGCCTCTTCGATTAAAAGCAACACTTGTAGCAGTTGCAAAACAATCGAGAACACCGTCAAATTCTTCGGGATAATTTTGCCCGAATTGTTCAAGCAATTCAAGATTCATGATTCATGAATTTCTTAAAAATTGAAATTCTTCAAATCAATTCTGCCAAAATTAATTGTTGGAGTGCAGAAGAAAAATTTATTACTATCGATAGTGTACTATCGATACTTTCATTTGGTTTAAAAATTCATCATTACAGATTCAATCATTCGATTGCTTTTATCTGCTAATAAATCAGCTAATTCCAAATCTTGAGCTTTTAACGATGGTTCACATTCTTGGCAATTATTGAAATATAAGCCACCAATATCGCTGATTTCATCAGTAACCGAACAGAATACTACCGTAGCAGCTCCTTGGTTCTTTGAATTCAAAAAGATTCATTTAAAATTATAGATTAAATTTAATCTAATCTTACAACTTACTGCAGATTTTGTAAAAGGACTGACCAAAAAATATAATAAACGTAACGGCCACCAATATCGTTGAAGATATGTGTTGACCAGATTTCCTGGATGGCAACTTAAAACTGTCACATTTTGTTTTCCTAAACGTCTATTTAAATACTGAGTGGTCAAAATATTGCATAATTTTGAATCATTATATGCCATGAAAGAGATGAAATTTGACGGACTGATAAAAACAAGAAAATTATATTAGTCTAATTGTGAAAAATATCGAAAAAAAACTTTCTTGCCTCCAATCTTGGTCAATATTTTCTTTATTTAACGTACTAAATCGATGACTTTCAGATGAAACAAAGACAATCCTTGTGGATGATTCAATCAATTTTTTCTCCAACAATCGAACCATGTAAAAATGACCAAGATGATTAACCTGGAATGTTGTTTCAAAACCATCCTCAGTCAAAAGGTAAGGCAATGCATTAATTGCTGCATTCAATATAAGAATATTTAATTTCCTAAATATAAATAGTTATATTTATGCTAATGAATTCATTTTTGATACATACAGATTCATTTTCAAAAATAAATCGCAGCATTGCTTGACACTTGATAGGCTAGCTAGATCACATTTGAGAAAAGTCAGTTTAGCTTCTTCCTATTTATAAGAAGAAAAAAATTAATTCAAATTATCAAACTAGAAAATTAAGTAAATTAATAAACAATACTTACTTTGAATGAGCGAATTTTATTGATAGCTTGATGCGCTTTTGATGAATCGCGACAGGCCATTATTACATGTGCACCATGTAACGCTAAAGATTTAGCTGTTTCGAAACCAATGCCACAATTAGCACCAGTTACAATAGCAACTTTTCCATTAAGATCGACATTTTCCAAAACATCTTCGGTAGTACTATTGGGTCCTAATTCTTTATTTCTCAACATAGCCGGAATGCCTCGATTATCCTTAACCTCGAATGCCGATCCTAATCGAGGATCAGTATAAGTTGATTGATCACTGTTAATACTTTTTTTTCGAAATTTAATTATAAAATTTATCAATTATATTGAATTGAATTTACTTATAATAGAGAACATGATTTCCATCATCATCGAATTTTCGTTGCCAACCTTCTGGCAGTTTTCCACTCACTGCTTTTCGTTTGCCACTAATCGGATGGTTCCATTGTGTAGTTTTTGTTTTAGTGCTAAACAGATTTGTGTTTAAATTACAAAAAATTTTAAAGCCAAATTAAATCTTACTTCAGGTAGTAAATACGATTGGTGAGCGAAACTTTTTGTTCCCACCTAATCAAAAATTCTATTTAAAAATCATCATCATTAAACTATTTAAAAAAATATCTACCCTTGTGGCAATTCATCTTCACTATCAGTATCTGGGAGTAATGAATTCATTATTGAAGAAAATTCTGTTTTGCAATCCAAATTCCAACCAAAACATTTACTGTTTTGGATTCTATATCTACCCAAAATGGTTTGACCGGGTATTTTGTTTTTTTTAAAGAATTTATTCAAGAATTTAAATTGACAATTGTCATTGTATATGATCATAATGTATAAAAATAATCAGTATGTAAAAATGATATAAATAAGACATATTTTTATAAAAATAAAGAAAAATGGCGCCAAAATGATTAGAGGTAATAATGAAATCAAAATATTAGATGATTTGATCATGATTATATGATTTTCTTTTAATTGTATATTTCAATGAAATTAGGTTCCTGAAGTTTTTTAATATAATAATAAAATGACAGGATAATGGTATATAAATAGGAATGATAGCCAACTATGGCCCATATAATGATGAATGCAAATAATGACCATTCCTGTTTTTAATAAAAAAAGAAAACATAATGCAGTTAGTCAACAAATAAGTTCATATATTTTATATAATTACATTATGATAATAGCGATAAAGTAGAAATGAGCCAAATGATGATAAAAATAGAATCTCGAATAAAGAAAAATAAAGCCATGGAAGAAAGAAGAAACGTGTTTCCTAATAAATTTGAAATAAAAAAAATTAGTTTTGTTTTTCTTTACATATTAATGAACAAATTACCGTATGAATGGCATGAATCAATCCGATCGAACAGAATATTAGATAGAAAATGCAATATGCAATAAATAGGAATGCCAAAATATTCGTATCTTTACGGCTAAATTCAAAGAATGGTGAAAAGAATGCATCAGATTGGCCTCCCATTAATAAATAGATGCCATAGAATAAGAATACGATATGTAATGTTGCCGTATAATAGGCAATCAATTTGGATCCTTTTTCAAGCGCAAGATAGCCTGAATTAAGTGTAAAACAAGGTGCCCAACACCGTTTTAACATGATTATTGTTGATTGATATAATCGAAAAATAAATGTTTGATCAAAAATAAAGCAAAATATTGCAAAATATAAAAAAAACAATCAAAATTCAGATTAAGTAATGTCGAAAAATTTTTTTGAATAGCTATAATCAGTATGATAAAATAATCGTAACATTGATAATCATGATTCTAGCTACGAAACGATATCACATTTCCTAATCAGATACTTTTGACATTTGGCATAAAAGTTTAGAAGAGGGTATTGTATACTTTATCGTTGTTGTTGTTGTTGTCGTGTAATGGCCTCGCGCGCTCGCTACCATGGTAGCACAATAATAATAGAAATATGAGTTTCCCCACACGAATCGAAAGAGAACAAGTTTCCGTATAGATGCCTCTATATTTATTATCATTTGTGAAGAATGGGGCAAAAAAAAATTCAACCAAAAAAAAAGATGACTAAATAAAGGCGAGGCATATTTCAATGCAATTTCATTTCATTTTTTTTCATCGAATCTATGGTATTAAGAAACATTTTTACGCGCTAACCTTTGATAATCGGCTACAACAAAAAACATATGAATAATTCCGTGATGATGATGATCACGTAATACTTAATTTAAAATATTCAATTCAAAAAAAACAACAGATATTTTATACAAATAAAGTAACAAAACAAAATACGTTGTAATTTTATTTTTTTAAAAAAATTCTTTTATTTCAAAATGATATTGGCGTGTCATTTTCATTGTGGTAAATACACACACACAAAGAACTTGTAATGCTTGAATTCTAGTAATTCAATCAACCTATGAAATCTGCACCAATTTCTCTTTTATTTAACGAATTTAAGACATATAAATATGACGAAAAGATTTTTTACAGATTCTACAAGAATCTTTAAAAAAAAATAATTAATGGAAAAAAAGTAAAAATCAAAAAATAGATTATGCGATCAAGGCAATGTTTATGTCTATGTCGTGATTCTTTGTGATTATATCTGGTCGGTAATATGGATTTTATGTTCATGTGCTTTACCAACTAACCAACTTTAACAACAAAACAAAAACTATGAAATGAAATTTGCGCATGAGAATATTCCGTTAGAAAATAAATTGGTAAAGATATTTTTTTAGTTTCATGAGCTGCTGCTATTCTAAAATGAGCCCAGAAAAAAAAACTATAACGATGATGACGACGATAGTGATAATGATTACTACTTACGGTATAGATTATAATCAACATCATTACAATGGTTTACATTGAATAATTTTATTTCATTCCATTCGATTCAAAGCACGTTGAATATTTCGTTCTTGCGCACGGTTTTTCATACAACGATAAAAATCCATCATATTAAACAGTAAAAAAAAATCAAAACAAATAAATTATTGAATCCGGTCAGATTTGGCAAATTCGAATTGTCTTGAAAAAAATCTGATTCATACTTTTTTTCATTCATTAAATTGCGACGAAATTCTTTACAACAATAAGAAATAACCGTAAATACATACAACGGTTATAGTTTTCAGTTCGGTAATCGTTTATTTTTATTTTTTAAATTATATGTAGTGGCTTCAAATGGAGATCTCGGTCATGCTCATGCTGCGACATCGAACAAAGATAAAATTAAAATCGCAGATGATTTGAATAAAACGGTAAAAAACAACAACAATAATCATTTTGGCCCATTTCTTAGCAATGCTAGAAATTTTTCGGAAGGAGATGTATCGATTGTCGGCCTTAAACGTCGTGTTGGATTTATTAGTGGAACAGCTCTTATTGTGGGCACAATGATTGGTAATTTATCATAAAAATAATTTATTAATTGTTTTAACCGATTACAAAAAACATAGGAAGCGGTATATTTGTATCGCCGAAAGGAGTACTTGAACGATCAGGTTCAGTTGGAATGAGTCTAATCGTATGGATTGGTTCTGGTCTAATTTCTTTGCTTGGTAAATTATTATTCATTGAATAGTAAAAAAAATTGTCAAACAGAAATCATTTCTGAAAAATTTAAATTTTTTCAGGAGCTCTTTGTTATGCCGAACTTGGAACATTAATCACAAAATCCGGTGCTGAATATTCATACATTCTCGAATCGTTCGGTGGTCTATTAGCATTTTTGTTCTCTTGGATATCAGTGTTTGTTTTGAAACCAGCCATGTTGTCAATCATTTGTTTGACCCTTAGCGAATATATTGTTCAGCCTTTTTTTCTAGAATGTCAGCCAAATAACTTTGCTATCAAATTGATAGCAATATTTTTTATTGGTATGCTAAATAATACAAATGATGAATCTATCTAATGTTATTGGCAATAATTCTTTAATATACATAGTGACCATAACATATGTAAATTGTTATAGCGTTAATTTGGCCACAAGCACTCAGAATATATTCACTGCTGCCAAATTATTAGCTATCATTATCATTATTTGCGGTGGAATCGTGCATATATTCCAAGGGCATACTGAATACATTTCCAAAGGTTTTGAAGGCTCAAAATTTGCTATTTCAGACATTGCTACCGCATTTTACAGCGGACTTTGGGCATATGATGGATGGTTTGTTTTTATTATAATGAAAAAATTTCATAAGTCACATTTATTTGTTTCAATAGGAATAACCTCAATTATGTTACTGAAGAATTAATCAATCCATACCGCAATTTACCATTGGCAATCATTTGTGGAATACCTATTGTAACCTTATGTTATGTGTTAGTTAACATATCTTACATGAGTGTTATGAGTACTGAGGAAATCCTGATGTCGGATGCAGTTGCGGTGGTATGTATTTTTTCTGATTCAATTGAATTAAATTAATCCATTTTTGTCCAAAAAAAATCCCAAAAGACATGGGGAAATCAGATTCTCGGATTTGCAGCAATCATTATACCGATTTCGGTAGCGCTATCTTCATTTGGTGCCGGAAATGGTTCTTGTTTTACTAGTGGAAGGTATTCGTGTCCAAAAAAATAAATAATTTTTTTATCAATTTTCTTTAATCATTAATTAGACTAGCATTTGCAGCGGCACGTGAAGGACATTTAATTGATGTCCTATCATATATCGATATGAAACGATACACTCCATCACCAGCTTTGGTTTTCAACGCATTTCTTTCTAGTAAGTTAATGATAAGAATTCAATGTTTGATTACTAATTTATTCATTTTATTCTAAGTTCTTTTGATCCTGCCTAGCAATATTGAGAGTTTAATAGATTTTTTCAGCTTTACAGCTTGGTTATTTTATGGTGCAACTATGTTAGCTTTAATCATTCTTCGTTATAAATCTCCATACAAAGATAAATTTCGTCCGTATAAGGTATTCGATATTTTATAAATGGATTGGTTATCATTTATTTTTTGCAACATATATACAGGTGCACTTATCATTGCCAATAATTGTTTTCCTGATATCGATTTATTTAGTAATTGGGCCAATCATAGAAAATCCACAAATAGAATATCTATATGCAACGCTATATATCGTTTCAGGACTGTTAGTTTATGTTCCATTTGTTAAATATAAAATCAAATGTCATCGTTTACTTAGTAAGTGAAAAATTTTATTATTACCAAATCAATATTACAATTTTTTAAATATGTTTTCAGATATCATAACATGGACTACTCAGCTAATTTTCAAAGCTGTTCCATGTGAATATGTTCCAGAAAGTTCACCCGAAGAAGAAGAATTACAAGAATCAAATCAACAAGAAGAATGACTACGCAATTATCACAACATAAGATGATCAATTATTTTTCAAACAAAACAAAAATATCGCTGTTGTCCATTATCTAAAAGACGAGCCAAAAAGCATTTACTTCCCATTATATTTTATTTTCTCACTATCGAACAGATTAATTTATTTTTTTTTCGAATCAATATTGTTCGTTAAGTATAATGATGAGTTTTATTTTGCATTCATTCAGACAAAGAGAAAAAAAATGAAAAACAAATTTTATCGTATAAATTTTAATTATAATCAATAATTTATCGCAATCAATGAAAATAATAAAAAATAATAATAATAATAATAATGACAATGATCAAAATTGATAAAAATGTGTGAAAGAAATGTGTATTTGAATTCTATTATTGGATTTCGTTTGCAATGAAAATTTTTTGTTTGTAGAAAAAATTTCATTTTTACAATTTAAAAAAATGCTCTGATTGCTTCATAATAATAATTATCATTATTTAATAAATTCAATAATATTTATGAAAGTGATAATGTTTGCATTTTTTTCTGCAGTTGTTTTGTTTATTCAATTGTGTCAAGTGTATTTTGTTTATAAGGAATCTTGTGACTTGAAATAGATTGATTGGATCATCAAATCAATGTGTATTAAATTGGATTATATTTACAAAAAGAAAAAAAAATAAGAACACGAATTGAAATACTACAAATTTTTTCATGGCCAGATAATAAAGAATATGTTGAATCTTTGTTACTGAAAACGAGATGATGATGATGATGATCATTACGATAATATGTTGGGTTGCCATGTAAAGGTGAAAGTTTTTTTTTTAATTTATACAAATCGATATGATGAATTGAATATGCAAAATGATGATGATGATGATACTTTTTTAAAAAGTGCAAATTTATGCTTAATTAGGGGTGGGTGTTGTAGAATTGTGAATAGGGTCCAATGTATGTATGAAACATTTCCAGTCAAATAAGATCTTGTCAGGATCTTTATAATTTTTTTTAATACAATCGTCTTTTTTTTGTTTTTTTCGTATTTTGTCAGAATTGGCTCAGCAGATATCACAAAACAAATCTCGCTATTTTTAATAATAAATGTGTAATATAGTCAATCTCAACTATGTGTATGAAAAAAGGTATGAGTTAATAAAATTGATTCATGCCGAAAATATCACAATTGAATTTGATGTTTTAAAAATTTGCAGTAATATAATTTTTTTTTGTCTCAATAAATAAGAATCAAGATCAATTCAGTCAAATCAAATATGTTGATGTGGTGCAATATGGTTCATTTTGAGGTAGCAGCTGATTTACGATTACTTTTATAATCTTTGGATACCGTTGTAGTGGATGAAGATTGTCTTGCCGATCGATTTCGTCTACCAGTGTTTCTGGTTCTAGCTGTATCTTTTTCTGGTGTATCTCCTTCGAATTCACCATTTTGATCTTCATCGTCCTCATTAGCCATCAATGATTTCAGACTTTCATCATCAGATTCCCTGGTGACAGCCGCCGCTGCTGCGCCAGTAGAATGATGACCAGCTGAACTTGTCAATAGACTATTTGCTAATGCTGAAGAAGAGCTTGACGATTTCATTGATTTACTGTTGCCTTTATTCGTTGAAGATGAAGAGAGTTTGCTCTTTTGATTTACATTAGAACTCGATGTCGGTGTGCTTGTTGTTGATGTGAATACATTGGAAAAATTTGCCAAACCATTCATCAAATTGGTATTATTGAGAAAAGGAGATGTGAGACCAAAATTTAATGGATACAGCGAAGGCATTGGGAAATTTGGATTTGAATACAGAAAAGGTAAAGATGACGAAGGTAAGCCAGATGAACCTAGCATGTTGGTTGCAGTCGAATTAAGAGGATTTTTGTTACCTTTGTTACTGCTGCCAGAATTTGACGAATTTTTACTACTTGATGATTTCATTTTGTCTTCGTTTACACCTGCATTTAAATTAGTGCCAGCAGAAGATGCCAAACTGTTTGCAAGAGATGCAAAATCAACATTACTTGGCGGTCCATCTCTCTTATTAGTCGATTGATTAAGATTGGCCAGATTTGAAAAATTTGAAAAATTGAACAACGGATTATTAATGCCGAAAAGATTAGCGAATGAAGACAATGATGGCGTTGTGTTCGTAGTTGTAGATGCTGGAGTAGTGCAGGTAGCTGTGCTATTTGTGCTCGTCGTATTTGTTGTGGACGATGCTTTAGAAACTGCTGCAGCAGCGGCTGCGGCAGCATCCAAAAACATTTTCATTGATGGAAGTCCAGATAGCATATTATTGTTGAAGCCTAAATTGGCAAAATTTGAAAAATTCGGATTGGACTTTCCAGTTGCATTCAATGCATTAGCATATGTGTTGGCTAAAAGTGAAGAAGCTGCTTGCTGCTGTTGTTTGCTTGAAGTTCCGGCAGCAGCGGCCAACGAGAGATTATTCAAAAGATTTGAGGCATTCATATTGGAAAAATTAGGATTACTAGTTCTAGTTGAAGCTGAAGAACTAGGCGTCTGTGAAGAACGTTTGTCACTTGTACGAGTACGAATCGAAGATGAACTACTGGGTGATATGGACTAATAAAATACAATTAATTAATAAAAGACGAATAAACAAACATAGGACAAATGAAAAATACTTACAGGTGTTTTGAATGATGTTTGAGTAGTTGGTTTATCTTTCATAAGATTTTTTAAATCAGCATTATTTTTTTCCAATAACGATGAAAGATATTTCTTTGGATCGATTAATGATGACTAAAAAATAAAGACAAAAATTTTATGTTAAAAATAATAATTATGATTGAAAGACATACCATGCCAGGAACATTCAACAATGATCGTTTTGCCAATAATTCCTCTCCGCCATTGTTATTTGATGGTGATGATTGAGCTTCAAATTGAGATCGAGTACGTTTACTGGATCGTGTATTCTTTGCTTTGTCATCGACCTAAAAATAATTGGACAAGTTTTAAAAATTTATTCTTCATTTCATTTCAATAATACTTACGTTCGGAATCGGTGGTGGAAGTAATTGTGATTGTGATGTCACAGTGGCAGCCGAACTAGATGCAGATTGATTAGATCCCTGTGACAAACTTTGAGCAAACAGTGGATTGTTGAAAATCGAAAGGAATGTAGAACTTTGTGATAAAAGATCAGGATTTTCTTCCAGAAGAGCTTTAAGATTTTGTTTCATCATATTAGCTTTGGGATCAAGCAAAGGATTTTTATCGCCTCCAGATGATGATGGTGATGGCATTTGCTTTGATGGTTGAGGTTGTTTGCTCAACAATTTGAATGATTCCATCATGTTGTAATATGCTTTACTGACATCACTAGCTGCCAAAGGTTTTTTCGTTCCCATAGTGTTGGCGATGGTTGAAGAACTTGAAGATGTTGCGGATGAGGTTTGCTGAGCCAGATTTGCCAAATTATTTTTCTTAACAGAATGAAACAAAGGAGATTTCGATAATTCATCAAATAATGTATTAGTTTGACGTTTATCATGTTGTTGTTGTTGTTGTTGAGATGATAAACTGGTGAATGCAGCCAACAAGTCTTTCTCATTGAACAAATTCCGAGATAAACTACTAGTTGATGGTGTATGGACAGAGGAAGTGACAGCAGTAGATACAGACATCGACTGCTGTTGTTGTGGTGGTGTTGGAAATTTACCGGACAATGTAGAATTTGAGTTAGGTCCCACATGATTGTCCACATGTTTCACTTCTTCCATCATTTTTTTGGCTTGCAAATTCAAAGCCAAGGCATCAATTCTACTGCCAGTCTTTCCTCTCCTTTTACCACTACTAGCGGGTAGGCTAGGATTTGAATTTGGTGTTGATGTCTCTGGAAAATTTGATTTCTTCAATGTTTGGCTTAGCAGATTAGCCATCGAGCTGGATCTGTTATTGCTAGGCCCACTTTTACATGGAACGGAACTTAAATCGAGAACATCTGCTTTTTCATTAGGATTCTTTTGAAAATGTTTATGAGCTGGATGTGGAACTGGTATATTCGAACGACTTGATGGTGCATTTGTTTTTTCTAAAACTGCACTCGTTGCGGATTTAAATTTTGATGTTAAATCCAACGATCCCAACGAGAGAGCATTTCTTGAAGAACTTTGATGTGCAGGTGGAGGTCCGGATGAAACCAATCCTCCTTTCGATGTTGTAGTTGTTTCAGATCCAGGAATCACAGCAGTGTTGGCAATAGCCGATTTGGCGGCTTGTACTTTCGAAACATTAGCTACTGCTGCTGCTAAAGTAGATTGGAATGATGGTCCAAATAGTATAGATGCAGCTTTTTCATCATTCAATAATTCTTCACGAAGAGTTGAACGAATATTGAATGGCAAGTTATTGAGTAATGGTGTCAAGAATTGAGATGGTATGTTGTTCAATAAAGAATTAGTTGTTTTGGTGTTTTTAAACAATGCAGAGGCAAAAGAATTCGGATTATTTTGTACAGGTGAAACATTTGAACTGGATGTTACAACGTTTTGATTCATTTTGTTATTATTGATATTCGATGATGATTGATTATGAGATTGATCCAAATTTGCATTGAGCAAGCTATGCAATTTAGTTTTTTCATTATCCATTTCAAAACGTCTTCGACGACGTCTTCGTTTTTTGTTCGAATCATCCAAATTACTAATGATCTGTCCTGATTGTGCAGTATTGGGTTGATAAAAATATTCACTTGGAGTGAATGGAGATTGTGTTTCATGACGAGGTGTATGATCAGGTGTTGGATGTGGTGTTGGCTCCTGGCTAGCACTTGACAGACTACATGGTGTACTTGGTCGAGGCGAGCTATCAGCCGTTGTCATATTTGGGGTATTGCATGAATGAGGCATCACATTAGCAATACCTCTGAATGTTGGCCATTCATTCTTTTCAACAGCTAAACAAACATTTTCCAATCGTATTTGCAATACACGATCTCGGGGCCATTTCAATTGAGGACGAATATATGTTGAAGATATATCAGATTCTGATGTTAAATGCTTCATTTCTTTCGATTCATTTCCTTCCAAATCTACATCAACCATAGATGTTTCCGGGTCTTCAAATTCTTTTGAAATTTGATCAATCATATTATTTAGAATGGATCGTATTTCGACCTCGAATCCAGCTTTTTCATTTACAACTTTTTCTTCGGCTGCTGTTTGTGCTTCAAAATTTCTAACAATTTCTATGAATGAAAGTTCGGTATCATTCATTAGATTATAGTCTAACCGATTAAGACCATATTTGGCTGCACCAATTAATAAATCTTTATCGTGTTTGCCACAGATCCACCATTCGGGAAGATCTAATTGTGGTTGGAAAAGTTTGAGTCGTTCATTCAATTCTGGATGATTGAGAATTTCATCTCGAACTTTATTCAAAAGTTCGATTCTAGCCAAACATCGATTAGCTCGTTCTTCAGTAATGGGATCAACACTGATCGGCAAATTTTCTTCATCTTCTGTCAATCGTCGACCAACCACTTTCTTACACATGGCGTAAAAAGCTTTAAAGTATTCGGTCAAAGTTTCATCTAATTTCTTTTCCAATTTGGCATACATGCGGAATCGAGTCCAATCAAACGTGTCAGTCTTTTTATTATATTCGATACCGAAAGAAGATACAACCCGATAGAAATCTGATTCTTCTCTCCTAGACCATTTCTTTTGAGCTTGTTCACGTTTTTTGTTTTCACGTTCCCTAATGGCAGCTTCAAACTTTTCCAATCTTTCTAAACGTTGCATATGTCGAGCCTTTTGAGCGATTCGAGCTTCTTCTTTCTTAAAACTTCGTTGGTAACAAGTAACTAATCGACGAAGACGATTATTCATTTCAGATGTAGTTGGAAACGGTAAATAATTTTGTTCTGACTGCTGTTGCTGCGATTGTTGTTGTTGAGTTTGTTGAGGTTCTTTGGAATCTTTTTCTTTTACATCATCGCCTTCTCTAATTTTATCACTTTTTTCATCTTTAGGTTCTTGAGCCGGTGTAGCAGGAGTAGCTGGAGTATCCGGTTCATCATCATCATCCATTTTTACTACATCATCTTCAGATGTAATTTCCGCTAATAAAGCTGCGCCATCAGGTGGACCACAAAGTACCAAAAAACACAAAGCTGGATCTTGTCGCATCAAATTGTAACGATCATAACCATGTTTATAAACGCCAATAATCAACGATTTATCAGCTTCTTCGTTCCACCATGGTGCAGGTGGATCACAATCAGGTTGACAATATGGAAGCGGTATATCTTTAACATGAAGACTGCTGAATACTTTTTCATGAAGATCGCCAATGATTTCACTTTTGATGTAAGCCAACAATCGTACACGCAAAAGAATTCTGGAAAAAATAATGAGAACCAAAAGTTAAATAATTGGAATCGTAATTATTGATAAGGTTGAAAAAATAAAGAATAATCAGCAAAAAATGAGAAATGATTGTACTCATGGGCTCATGAAAATGCCTCAGTATTAGCATGGCAAAAATTCATCCTGTATCAAATCGGATTGTTATTGAACAATAATAAATAAAAATTACTTACTTATTAGCATGCCGTAACAAATGTTTTCGATATGTTTCATCAATCATTTGGATGTCTGGATTATATTTTTCACTTTTAGCCCAATCCAAAGTTTCCAATTCTTCACAAATCGGTTTAATGATTCCTTTGTTCTTTTTTGATCGTCGACTTTGGCATTCTTCGTTTTCCGATGATGGTTTTGTATTTGAATCTGACGATTCACTTTTTTCCGATGGTGGGGTAATAAGATCCAAAATAAATGATTTCACCTTTTCATCACCTTTGTAATTTTGGAGCGAAAATAACAATATCACTCGAGAAATGTCTTCAACATCTACTTGTGATAAATTTCGTTTGAATTTCGCTAACATAGCACATTCATCCCATCTTCCCCAGCCGAATGTGAGTAGACCTTTTTCTACTTTGAAAAATTCTGATCTTGTCCATCCAAATCCAATTTCTTGGGCATAATCTTCGTCATGTTCAGGATCATAGAAACGACTTCTGCGCTTCTTTTTGCCAGTACTAGGTGTTCGGTTGCGACTTCCACGGGTCCTAGCTGATATAGCTTCTTCTTCATCGGTCGAAGTGTCCAGTTCGGAAATATCGAGCACAGCATCATCAGCACCAAACCGTTTAGTTTGCGTTCTTTTTCGAGGTTCTTGAACAATTAATTCATTTCGGGTCTTCAATTCATCAACATCAAAATTTGCTTTTTTAGCCCATTTTTCCCAGAAATTCGGATCGTCGATTTCGATGTCGGTTCGATTATCAGAAGTAGCAAAAGAAGCTTTAGAGAAAGTAGACCCCTTTCCTTCGCTTTCAATGACAATTTTAGTTGTTCTACGTTGCAATATCATGTCAATATCTTCTTCACAGAATTTGTCGCCAGCTGCATCGTCTTCCATCAAAGCACCGTAAGCACCTTTTCGCAGAAGATCTTCAATCTCTTTTTTGGTCAATTGATTTTCGGGAGTCAGATTTTTCTGAGCATTGATTGATTGCAATACAGCTTTGTCAAGGCCCAGTTTTAGGCTAGCGCGATCAAACATTTCGCGTTCATAAGTGTTTCGACAAATCAATCTATAAACTTTAACCGATTTTTTCTGGCCAATACGATGACAACGAGCTTGTGCCTGGAGATCATTTTGAGGATTCCAATCCGAATCGAAAATAATAACAGTATCAGCTGCTGTCAAGTTAATGCCCAAACCACCAGCTCTAGTACATAAAAGAAAAACGAATCGGTCGGAATCTGGTTTGCTAAATCGATCAATGGCAGCTTGACGTAAATTACCACGGACTCTTCCATCGATTCGTTCAAATGGATAACGTTTTTGACAAAGATAATCTTCGAGAATATCCAAACAACGAACCATTTGTGAGAAAATCAAAACACGATGACCATTTTCTTTTAGTCGAGGAAGCAGTTTATCGATAAGAACCAATTTACCAGATGCTTGAATAATAGCATTCAATGTTGATGCATCACTATGTGTACTACGAAATTCTTGTAATATCTGTTCTTCAGCACCGTTAATCAAAAACGGATGGATGCAACATTTTCGCAATTCCATCACCGTATTCATCAGATTAGGGATATTAGCATAGGTGCCACCTTTGCTTAGAAATTGAAAATTACGCTCTAAGATGGCGCGATAGTATTTTTTCTGTACGTTTGTCAATTCAACCTAAAAATTTACAAATGAAAAAAATTGAAAAAATTAGTCAAAATGGATAAAACGAATATATCAAGAGATTTTAAAATAGATACATACCTCAATGATTGTTTCTTCTTTGGGTGCCAGAGATTTTTCTACATCTTCTTTCAATCTACGAAGCATCATCGGTTTAAGTATAGCCTTTAGTTTGTCTACCTGAGCTTCCGTCTTAAGATCACCAAATTCAGCCATAAAATTTTCATTCGAAGTAAATTGCGATGGTTCGAGAAAATGAAGAAGACTGAACAATTCTTCGACATTGTTTTGCAATGGTGTACCAGTCAAGAGAACACGTTGATCGATTTGCAACATGCGTAATCCTTCAAGCAATTTACAATTGCGATTTTTAAGCCGGTGGGCTTCATCAATGATGCAAGCAACCCATTTAATCTTACTAAGTTCAAGGCAATCTGCCAATATTACTTCGAATGTGGTGATCATTACTTGAAATTTGTACACGTTAGGTATGCGTTCATTTTTTTCATTTTTGTAATACATTTCATAATCCTGAAGCATGTTACGGCTTGGAGAACTATCAAGTAATAATAATTAGAAATTGAATTGAATTCTCTAAAAATTATATTCATACCTTCCATGATAAGTGATAACATTCAAATCTGTCCATGTTTCAAATTCTCTTTGCCAATTTCCAATCGTTGATAATGGTGCAATCACCAAATAAGGATATGGAATTCCATAGCTAATCATTTCCTGGATGAATGTAATTGATTGAATGGTTTTACCAAGACCCATTTCATCAGCTAAAATACAGTTTTGCCTATAATGCATTGTGATCGATTATATATTGATTATTGTTAATTAAAATCAAAATTTCAAAAATTCAACATACCCATTGTGCCAACAAAAACTTAGCCAATTGACACCTTCTAATTGATATTCACGAAGAGTGTTACCATTTTTATAAACTAGCGATTGTTCTCGTTTCTGCCATTCAGTGGCTTTAGGTTTCTTTTTGATTTTCCACTCACTTTTTGGTGGTGGTTCACGGAATTTCCAGAATTGTTCAATTTTCGATCGATCATCAATATCGTCTTCCAATTCCCAGGTGCTTTCTTCATACGACAATCCTCTCCACTTGACCAAAAAGTGGCGAACAATTCTAGTTTTCTTTACGATTTGTTTTTGTTCTTTTTTCGGTTCGTCAATCAATTTCTTTTCTTCTACATTTGAATTAATTGTCTCGGATTTTTCTTCTGGCGATTCAGGTGATTCTTTGATTTCATCAGGTTTAGATTCGATTTCATTAGGTTTAGATTCGATTTCATCAGGTTTTGATTCAATTTCATCAGATTTAGATTCGATTTCATCAGATTTAGATTCGATTTCATCAGATTTAGATTCAATTCCATCAGGTTTAGATTCGATTTCGCTAGTTTCCATTTTATCAACTTCAACATTTGAAACAGATTCTTTATTGTCGATTTCGTTGTTGTTTTTAACCAATTCATCATTTGATTTGATTTCATCATTCACAACTTCTGAATTTAATTTTTCTTCATCGATCGATAAATCTTTTTTGACATTTTCATTATTATCATCACTTTTGATATCTGATTCCGTAGGTTTTTCTTCGACATCCATCTTTTCTTCATCAACACTTAATTCAGGTTTCTGTTCATCTTTTTGTTCATCATTAGTTTCCTCTATGGGAACATTAATTTCTTCTTCTATGATTTCTTCGATTTCGTTGACATCTAAGATTCGATCAACTTCAACATAATCAGGATTGAATGGTTCTTCGTCAAGAAAGTCAAAAACATTTATATCTTTCTTTTGTTTATATCGACGAAGTTTCAGATTGATACGACGGTCACCTTTTTCCAATTCTTCTTCGGTCTTCCAATCACAATGCAAATATGAAAGATTTTTATATTTGACATAAAATTCTTCCACATCTACAAACACTGGTTCTTTGTTTTCGCCGTAATTCTCGTCACCTGGTTCAAATTCTAGTTCACGTTTGGCCATACGACTAGACAATATTTTTTCCACAACCATTGTGTCTTCAGTGAGTTGTACATTCATCACCTGACTTTGATCATTAGATTTTTGCATAAAATCTTCATCCGATAAATCCAAATCAATATCATCATTATATCGTTGTCGTTTTGTGTTACGAGCTGATCGTCTCTTATTGAGAGCTGATTCATCTTCAGGATCAGGTGAAGGTGGAGGTGTCTTTTCTATATCAGAATTGTCTGGTGATCCGAATCCTCGTCGACGTTTTTTGCTGAGTTTAAATTTCAATGCTAATTTAGGCAGCTTTCTTTTTGGTGCCCTATTTTTGACTTTGGGCTTTTTAATTGCTTCTTCTTCAGCATTTACTGTTTGTGTCAGCTCACCATTAGTTGATTCACCACCATTGACATCAGTCAAAACAAATGATTCGTTTTCCGTTGTATTAATATCGGATTTCTCTTCAATTTTGGGTGATTTCTTTTTCTTTGGCCGTATTCGTTTTGGTGGTTTGACTTCACTATCGGTAACTGAACTATTCATATCAAAATTAGATGTTGACAATTGAGTCTTTTCATCTAGATCTGTCGAAACCAATGTATTTTCATCAATCGATTGTTCGGATTTAATTTTTTTAGATCTTTTCTTTTTAATTTTTGTTTTTTGTGATTTGTCATCGACATTTTCGTTGTCAAATGTAAATGTATCCATTGTCGTATCGTCAGTTACTTCTTTTTTCTTAGGCTTTCTTTTCTTTTTATGTTTTTCAGGAAGCGGTGTTGATGAAGTATAGCTACCAAGCTGCATACTTGTTTCATCAGTGAAACTGTTTATGGTACTGTCAAGATCAACCTGATTCGAAATAGGTGGAATAGTTTTGGCATTATTCATTGTTGGATAATTAGGGTCGAAATTGTTTGTCGATAAAAGTTGATCATTTGTTGTGGCTATAGTTTCATGTTCTTTTGCAACAGTTTCGAAATTAGACGGATATAATGTTGCCGAAGATGATGATGATGATGGAACGGTCGATGGTAACATTGTTGAATTATAACTACTTTCAATTGATGGCGATGATTTGGACAAATTAAAATTCGTAGGAATCGATATAGGTGGCAATGGTGGCGGAAGAGGTGTTTGTTTTTCAATATCATTATGATCCATCGAATCTAAAGGAACTGAAGGCAGTGATGAAGGTGTGACTGGAACAGAAGCTATTTGGCTAGTTTGTTCTGAAGATTGATTGATGTTATTGTCTTTGTTCATATCAGATGTTGAAGATCCAGAATCGATTAGAAAAGTAGAATCCTCATAAGGATTTGGAGCTATCGATTTTGTTGTCGTAGTAGTTTGTTCAAGGGTATTGGCGTTGTTATTATTATTATTGCTCACCAAATCTTTATTATCACAAATAATTGGTGAAGAATTCCTATCAGAAGGTTGTTGATCACTTGAAACATTAGGAACCTTAGGCTCATCATTAACATAATTATATGACGATGAATTATCTGTCATTGGAATAGAATCATAATTCGTTCGATTATTAGATATCGTTGGAGGAAGTGGTGGTAGTGTATGCAATGACGGTTGTGGTAAGGTTGTTGATAACACTGATGGAATAGGTGATCGACTATTCACGGCATTTGATGATGATGGTGGTGGTGCAGTCATGTGATGACTATTGCTTTGATTTATTGCAGGCAATGATGGAACTGCTGGCATAGACACAGGTTTAGAACCATATGGCGAAGATATTAATTCAGAATTCGGTGGTGGTGGATGCTGATGTGGTAATACTGATGAGTTGACTGTTGGCGGCGTAACAGGTAATATTGAATTTGAGGAAGGCAACTTGGATGCAGAAGAGCTTAAAACTGATGAATGTGCACTGTACATGTCCATATTGTTGGAACCATACATGTCGACTGAATCATTCACACTAGGACCAGGACCTAATGGTTGCGGCATAAGTGGTGGCCCACCATAATTGACCGGTGATCCAGCGTATTCGTGAGACATCATCCCTGGTAATGGTATATGATCCATCATAGCTTTATTACCTCGACCGCGACCACGACCTCGTGTTGTTTGAGATCTAGGTTGTCGTGGTTTACGTTCCTTTTTTGGAGCAGCATTATCTTTTTTAGGTCGACCTTTTCCCTTTCTTTTACTGGTTGTTTCATAATCATCAAAATTGGCAGCATATGGATCGGTTGGTGGATATTCTGATGGAACCCCGCCAGATTGTTGTAAATTGGCTTGCGATTCTCGATATTCGGACATGGTTTGATGTGGTGGCATACCAAGACCATTATCAATATTGTACGGATCATAAAGCATCGTTGAATCATGATCTGCTGTATTGTATGAAGAATTGGAAAGCTCTGATGAGATACCATATTGATTTGACTGCAATGAATGCGGCGGCGGTGGTTGATCATAGCGAGAATGATTAGGATATGGTGGCATTGAATGGCTGCCATATGGTGAAGGTTGCATCATTGAATGGTAGGAATTCGAGATTTGTGATTGATCCCCTGACATTGGATCAAGCACTGAACGAGAATTTTTATTATGATCATACATTGATGATGTTTCATTTTTTAAAGACGATTGTTTTGATTGTTGACTGGACATTGAATCATACGAAGATGGTGGTGGGGGTAATGGACTATTCATGTAATTACTTTGAGTTATGGAATGGGGTATCGATGATGATGATGATGAATGTGAATTTGATGATGATGAATTATATGTTGATTGCGAATATTCATTGTTCTCGGCCGATAGATCATTGGATCCTTTATTGGTCGATGTTGAATTGTTATATGATGAATATGGTGAAGTAATTAAACTGCCATCATTAGCACTCGTCGAGTGTGACTTATTCGATGTGGATGATGATGATGATAAATGTTGAGCACTGTGAACTAATGGCGGTTGCCGCATAGCACTCGGTCCACCTGATTTTAATGAATGAGTATTTGAAGCTGTCATAGGACTAACTGATGCGGCCGGTGGCCAACTTCCTGCACCTGGTTGTGTCGGAGTTGGCTGTGAATAATGATGATAAGGAAATTGCGAGCTTGGTGTCGATGATGATGATGAATAATGGGGAAACAATTTACTTTGAGATTGTGACTGAGATGGTGAAATTGGTGATGAATTTGCATTCGACGAATAGAAAGTGTTTGAATTATTTGAAGAACTGTTTGTCGATTTTGACGTCGTCGTTGAAGTATTGCTACTGGTTCCGGAAACTAAATGAGGCATGACCATTTGTTCGAGTTGCTGAAGACTGGATGGTGTTCCAGTGCTTGATGAACCAACCGAATTCGGTAAATGATGGCTCGAGCTAGAAGGATTTGTTGAAAATGCCGAAGAACCTTGATTCGAACTTTGAGTTGAATTTGACCCCACCGATGATGGACCAGGTGTATGAGATGTTGGCGGCATTGGTGATCCGGCCGGTGATGTGGTAGTCGTTCGCCGTGGACTATTCATCGATGCTGATCCGGTTTGATAGCCACCACTGGTCGAACGAAATTGTGGACTATTTGGGGTCTGTGACGTACTACTACTAGTTGGTGGCGTAGAATAAGGTGATAATCGAGCTTGACTTGATGGATCGTATGCTGATATACTTGGAGCATATGACGAATAGTGTGAAAACCTCGAAGCAGCTGAATCTCTAACTGATGCGGCTGATGATGCTGAACCCGGATTAGTTATAGATGGTTGGTTCGATTGTTGAGTTGATGTAGCCGAACTGTTGTTGTATGAAGCTAGTTGGCTACCATATTGCTGATGTTGGCTTCTGGATGAATTTGAACTTCGAGAACTAGATGATGGTGGTGGCTGCTGAGATTGAGAGCCGGAAGCACCAGATCCAGCTCCATAACTAGTAGAATATGCTGATGATGGATCATTTGACATGTGATTTGGGAAGTAAGGGTTGCTCGCACTGGATGAACCGTAATCACTTCCAGTAGCGAATTGTGATGTTCTCGAACTATTTGAATGCAATGAATTTAATGTGGATGAGGTCTGTGCAGAGTTGCTCGTCGCTCCGGGCGTTGTCTGTGAAGAACTTTGAAAATTAGTAAAGGGAGATTGCTGTAAATGCGATGACATTGGAGTTTGACCAGATGACGACCACAATTCACTCGTACTGCCACCGTGATAACTAGAAGAATTTGGTAATGATGAAGCGTAAGGTGAATATTGTGAAGGCATTGTCGGATGACGAGCACTCGCCGCCGTATGTAACGAACTAGGTGAATGTAATCTTTGACCGGTATATTGGGCTGCCATCATAGCCGCTTGATGTGGAGGAGGTGGACCATACGAATGGTGACCACTTGAAGCTGCCAGATGTGAAGCCTGACTCATTGATAAACCTGGATAAGAATCCATCGCTCCATGTGGTGGTGGTGGCATATAACTTTGTGAATACTGCGAACTAATCGATGCAGGCGTTGGTGCTGAACCATAACCAGGATAACTTTGATGTAGCTTGTTTGACATTGATAATGGATCACTCGTTTGTGGATATCCAGGTCTGGGCTGAGATCCAGGTTGTAATGAATGGTATGGTGGTTGACCTGGAACTGGTCCAACACTACCAGGAGGTAATAAACCTAATCCAGTTGGTGGCTGTCCAGGACCTGGTGGTTGACTTGGATTCTGAACCGCATTTGCAGCAGCATAACCAGGGTGATAACCTGTAAATGAAATTTTATAATTCATAATCAATCAACAGATAAGAATATAGTTTGTTTTTTTTTCAAGTGTCATAAGATTCACTTACCAAAAGGATCACCAAGAAGTTGATAGTCGGCCATTATGGATATTTATGGTTGGTTAGAAAAAAAAATTGACCAACAATCGTTGTTGGTCAATCGAATAAACACAAAACACAAAGCGTAACGTGTTACGAAAAATTTTTTAATTCTAAATTAATATCCGGTTTGTTTGTTTGTTTTTTTTGTACTGAAGAATGGAAATAAAAGTTTATAATGGAGCACTTGAAAAAATTAATTCATCATTCATTTCGATATATAATTTTTGTGAGTAAATCTATTATTTTTTTCGAATTAAAATTCGAATTATGAATTATCGATTTTAAAAAAATATAGAAGAAATGTAATAATTAATGAATGTTTGGTTGTTTGTCAACGTGTCATTCAATAGTTTTCAGCAAAAAAATTGATTATTATTTGATTGTAGCAGATGATTTTTGAAAAAAACTTCTTCAATTTTGAAACGACAAAAACCAAATATTATCGTTGATTCATGGATATTTGAAACAAAACAACAACAACAAAAAAATTCCAAAATGCAAATTTGAATGGACCTAATAATAAAAAAAAGAATAATAAGAAAATAATTGTTATATGAAAATATAAATAAATAAATAAATAATGATGAGTAAATACAGACAAACACATCAAACAAACATAAACGGAGAGAAAAAAAATTCAAGATTCTATCCAGAAAAAAAAATAATATAAAAGCATCCGTAATGTGCGCATCTCTCTCTCTCTCTCTCTCTCTCTCTCTCTCTCTTTAGTTTTTTCTTTCTCTCTCTCTATTTTCTAACAACAATACCAATTTATCCAAAATTCNATCAAACAAACATAAACGGAGAGAAAAAAAATTCAAGATTCTATCCAGAAAAAAAAATAATATAAAAGCACCCGTAATGTGCGCATCTCTCTCTCTCTCTCTCTCTCTCTCTCTCTCTCTCTTTAGTTCTTTCTTTCTCTCTCACTATTTTCTAACAACAATACCAATCTATCCAAAATTCGCCTGGTCTTCTGTTTTATTTGCGGATACAACAACAACAACAACAACAAGAAAAAAATATATGGTTGGTTGTTCTCCATTGGTCTATGTTGTTTTTTGTTGTTGTTCTACCATTCAGTTGTTCGGGTTAAAAAAAATGGCCAACATAGAAAGACAGAAAACAAAAAAATGATGAAAGAAATATTTTTACTAACGTATTTCGATAGTATATTCTGCTACTATTATTTCGGCGACACATACACAAAACGGGCAATTCGATTTTTATATTGGGTGATCATCATCATTATCATTGGCTGCTGCTACAACCACCCAAACTATTTAGATTCTTTTTCTCTCTCTCTTTCTGTCTATTGATATTATTCTTACGATTAGAATGGTTATATGATCAATATTATTATCATCATCATCATCATCATCAAAATAATATCAAACCAGATCGACTTCTTTAATTTATATTAAAGAAAGAAAGAAGAAAAAAATCCTGGTGTATCCTTCTCTTTTTTTTTGCAGCCAATTATTACAAAAGATGAAAGGAGAATGAACGAAGAAGATTGGAAAAAAAATTTGATTGAACCCTAAACAAGTAGTGATGATGATGATGATAATGATTTTGGTTACCTGACTCTACACTACATCAAATTCAACGATGAATTTCTTAATATGTTGTCTGTCCGAGAAAAATAAAATATTCGAAATTTTTTTCGTTTTGAAAAGATGTTTTTTTCTACCTTTTCTTGGTTCTCAATTTTCTCTACTATTACTATTATTGTCAATCACAAATTGACAATGAAAAAAGAAAAAAAATGGCCAATTTTATGTTTGATTCTGCGATGCTAAATTCGATTGACAAAACGGAGGGTTGAAATTTCATTTATTTTAATCATGATTTTCATATATTTTTTACATCATCATCAATGACCAAAAAGGATGCAAAGGTGTATGTATTATATAACAAAAGTTTTTGAATGGATTATTGATGATGATGATTGAGTGACCATCATTTTATTGTGTGTGTGCGTGTGATTAATTCATAATATGAATGCATAGCAACATCATTATCACTACCACACCACCACCAAAAAAAAACCAGATTTTTGATCAATCATTGTTTCCATTAATACAAATTGTTGTTTCAAACAAAAAGATTAGCTAAAAATCAATGTAGACAATCATAATGAATCATGATGGATGGATATATAATTTTTCATTATTATTATTATTATCATTCCCAAAACCACCAACTAAAAAAAAAAAAATGTACTGGAATATTTATTAGCTTAAATTTTACCAAGTTATCCACAATTTCTTAAAAATTCAGAAAAAAATTTGCAAAACAAAACAAAAATTCCAATTAAATCAATTAACAAAAAACAAAACAATAACTAATCTAATAACTAAGAATTTTTGAAGAATAAAAACCAAAATACGGAAGTAGAATAACTGCTATATTTGTGTTTGTGTGTTTTTAAATCTTTTGCTTTTACCGTTTTGTTATTGTTTTTGGCCATAGAATTGACTTGTTCAACAACAACAGGCGGTGTTAACAAAATATTTTCACCACCAATGTTGTTTTTTTTTTGTGAAATTTCAAGTTTTACAGTTTTTTTTAAAGAAAATTTCACATCCTTATCGTGTCTAACTTTAAATCAATTTTTTTTTTCTTTTTTAAGATATCCGTTCTTTTTTTTCGCAAATACAAAACAACACCTAAAAAGCAACAATCAAAACAAAACAACAACCTTACAGAATAATAATAAACTCAAATAAATGAAAAAAAAAGAGCGAATAAACATGCTAGCAACCTCACCATCATCTCAGATATGTTGAGCATATAGGGAGTCCACAATCACCCGAAATACCGTATACACGAGAGTAACCAAAAAAAAAAAAGCAAAAAACCAACCAACCATTCAGGATAGCTTTTTCAGCAAAACACATTTGAGCGAAAAATTAGAAGAAAAAAAAACGATCGACACCAAACGGAAAAAGCAAGTTTGTTTGAACTAACTAAAAAAAAAAAAAAAAATTACTGGTCGGCTTGTTGGTTTAGTTTTGTCGTAAGAAGAGTTTTTTTTAATGCGTGCCACGCATGCACACGCTTATAATGGAAATCATCATCATTGAAGACGAAGACGAAAACAACTAAAAAAAAAAGACAAAGGAAAAGAGGATCACACATGAGAAACTCACGATCACACACACAATGCCAATTTCAATTCATTTTTTTCTCTCGATGTATATATTTTGCTGTCTTCAAAAAAAAAGAATTCGAATTCGAAATAAATATAGCCCGATGAAAAAAAAAATTCATAATGAAAGATTATTTTCGGATATTTTTTTTCTTTTCGGCCAAAAAGAGAGAAAATTTTGGCTACTTTGGCTATTTTACTCATTTTTATAAATATACTACTCCTTTCACATATCATATGGTATACACCTAGCACATTTGATCAACAAAAAAAACTTCCATATCCTTTTCTTATAACCATAATATTTATCCAAATATATTCATGGTCAATGTCAAAACACCTAGAATCTCTTCATAGAATAATTCACAGGTGATTTATTATTATTATCATCTAGGTAAATAAATAAATTGAAAAAATATTTTTATGATTCCGGAATATATTCCAGGTGTGAATTTATTTTATTTTTTTGAATATCGTAAGAATTTGTTTGTGTGTGTTAAAAGTAGTGTTCCAATACACAAAGGACAAGATGAAAAAAAAATTAAACTGTACCGGAAAATAGGAGCTACTGATGGTGAATTGGTGAAAAAAAACGAGCAAGCATATCGCGTTATTTCTTTATACATGAATATATGAAAATATCATTTATATAGATAAAAAAAAGATTCAACACCAACGACCAATTTAAACACACCACCATCATGAAGAATAACATGCATTCATATACATAACCAGAGATACAAGAGTATGCCCGGCGACAAACTCAAAAAAAAATTCAGGCATACACACATCAACCAGAAACGAAAGATTTGTTTTTTAAATACAAACCGAATTGCAAAAAAAAAGAAAAAAAATCCAAGATAGGAAACAAACCAACCAACCAACCACTATGGAGCTGCTATAGAGAATTCGTTTTTTTTCCATAAAATGTTTTACTCATCGATAGATGATTATTATTATTAATATGGTTCTGAATTTTTTTCTCTTTCTCTCTTTCTATCTATATATTAAGTTTTTAATGAAAAAATATATTGCGTACACACAAAAAAAAAACAGATAGAATATTCCTTTGAATATATTTATTTTTGTCTTTCATCATTTTGTATGTGAATTTTTTCTTTTCGATAATGATGATTAGTCTCAGGTCATATTACCAAAAAAAGAAAACAAGATTATAATCACTAGAATCAATTTTGTCTATATTTGTATTCTATAAGAATCCATGTTAATAAGAATTGTCTATATTGCGATCTATGATTTACATATAGACAGCAAATTTGTTTGTCTAGTTCATCATAGGTTTTGTTTTGAATTTTTTCTTTTTTTTGATGGATCACAGTTCATCATAATTTCAAATGGTTCTTATCAGGAAACAAAATTGATTTCTTATGAAACAAAATATACACACGCAAATTCATGCAAAAATTTTCAACAAAATCATAAGACCATCATTTTCACAAGGTTTTAGCCAAAAAAAAACTTTCTCAAGAATCTCGATAGAGTTCAGTAAAAACAAAAAACAAACGATGACAACCAAATTATGACGTTTGATTTTCAATACAACAAACAAACAAACAACAACAACATTAAGATCCAGACGATACATTGATCTTTATTAGATAAATATTATGTAAAAAAAATTGAATATCAATCATATAGATGATAATAATTATTGATGATTTGATTGATTGCAAATTAATGAAAATAAATCATATCAAACAAATATGATGAACACACATGTTGATTAGGCAAATTTGAAAATATAAATACACACACACAAAAAAAATTCAAATGAAATAATAACATTCAAAATTAATATCAAATGGGAAAATTCGATCAAGATGACAGACAAAGAGTATACTTGAATGATACACACACACACACACACACTGATCATTTTCATAGTCAGTTTGATTTGAACACATACACAAAAACACGAATACATCAAGATGTTGTTTCAGGAAATAAATATACCTACCTAAAGAAAATTTTCAATTTATTAAAACACCTTATTCAAAAGAAAAATGTTGGCTAAATAATAATGCAAATAAAAGAATGAGAGTACAGTTCGTCAATTCAAGAATAAGCAAAAGGTTCGTTGATTCACGATATACGATTTGAACTTTGTGAATGTCAAAGTATCAGCTGCCGGTTAAAATATATGAAAGAAATGAATGAATGACAAAAAGTGGAAACACAAAATTATTTTTGATTTTAAAATAAACAAATTGCATGAACGGTTAAGATTGGACCAAATATCACACTTAATTAAATAATATGAAGATTCGACGGTTGAATTGTTGTTGATGTCACTATTATTACTAATCGATCCAATATGCAATAACGAAAAACATATAAAAACACAAAAGTTGATGAAACACGCTGGATTTTTTTTTGTTGCATATGTTTGTTGATCTATTTCAACAAGAATCTGATGATGATCAAATGATAATGTAATTGTTGTATCTGATGGTAAAAAATTGTTATGAATATGGTAAATGTCCAATTACCGGAATCAAATCAAATTGAATCCTTTTCTTTTAATGAAAAACAAATAATATTGATCAATATTGGAAATTTATCGATGAATATCGAGGATTATTATCAATCCAAGAATTGAATCAGAAATCGATTCAAATTCGGAACATATTCCGAAAGTTATTTTTTGTCGTCTTTAATTCACTTTAAAAAAATTTCGGGTAACAAATATTCATCTAAAGATTTGTGGTGACGATGGTGGTCATCATCATCATCATCATCATCAACATCATCTTCATCACCATCTACAGAACATAGACATTATAATGCACCAACAAAATACTATCATTCTCATCCTCAATTCAGATATTGAAAAAAACACCAGACGTCATCTTGTTGTCGTCGTCATTGTCTCCCTCACTCACCATTACATTGATATTGACTACTACAGTGCCAGGATATCTTTTTTTTTTGTTCGAGCCGCCATCTTCAAAATACTACACACACAAAACCAAACATCATTATCCACTCGCTCATTCTAGAAACAAACACGGAAAGAAACAAAAAAAAAAAGACAGTTTTCATGCATGCTGCCATCTCCAATAGTTGTGGATCTTTTTTAAAAAAAAAAATTTTGGCAATATACGATTGTCGCAGATACCACTTCTTTTTCATTTTTTTTTTAAATATTGCCAATCACACATTCTATCAAATATTCTTTTATTTTTCTGCTTCTCATCCTTATTCATTCCATCGAATATACTCTCAATTCATGATATCTTTTGTCTCTGCTATTTTTGCATGGCAGCTGCGGTCATCATCATCATCATCATCATCATCATTATTAGTTACAACTACAATCGGTTGTAGCTGGACAATGGACTTGACTCTCTGAAAATGACGTTCTGGATCTATTCGTTGTTACATCAACTACCACCACCACCACAACCAATAACCACTATCATCATTTTGACAAGCGTTTACCTTTATTGTTACCATTTCATTTCGTTACAATGGAATAATATTAGATCATCAATTCTAATCTTCAATGTTTCTTATTCATTTAATACTACTACTACACAGTCCTTTCACCTTTTTTCATTGGAAAATTTGTAAAAAAACTATTTATTTATTCTGCTCGGGCACATCTGTTCGTAAATACTTGATGAATCGTTTGTTGTCCCAAAACAGAAAACGTAGTAGTAGCACTGTTTAATAAGATTTCTATAATTAACTCATTCTTTCACACCTACTTCTTCTTCTACTACTTTTCATCCTCCTCCTATTCATTCACCTTTTTATCCAAAACAAAAAAAAAGTGACAAAATGATAGCAAAACTAGCGGCGACTATTGACTGGCGGCAAAATTCAATGACAAGTTCTAAAATAAATTTTATATTTTCTTTTTTTAATTCTGAATAATTCTGATTCTGATTATTAATGCATTGTATTGAAATTGGATGTGGATGATGATGATGAGATGATCTCTTGTTAAAAATCGAGTATGGCAAACAAACAAACAGAAAAAATATTACCCGTGTAGCGCATGTTTCGTTCAAGAATCAAAGAATGTATGATTACGAATCCATCAATTGCGATTGGTTCAATCATCTATCGCGCATTCGATTATATTGTTTGTATGTTCAATACAATTCTGTTTATTTTATTCGCTTCAGTTAATTCGGGATTTTTCCAAATCTAAAACAAAACAAAAAAAATTATCCATAGTGTTTGCCTTGTTATATTTATTAATTTCAATACCGAAAAAAAAATTCTGAATAAAACTAAACCCCCCTCCCTACATATTTCATTGGAATCTATCCTATTAGCCATAATGATAACAGCACGGAGATGGCGCAGGATTTAGTGATTGATTATTTTTCTCATCAAAAAATAATATTCTCCATGATGGGCGTTGTATGAGAATTCTGGTAAAATATTATAAAGATAGCCAAAAGGACAATGCAGTTAGGTTGTCAAACAAAAATTTTGCAATCATTTTTGGTTAGTTAGGTAAGAGAAAAGTTGAAACAAAATGGGAAACAAAGTAGCCGTATTTACTGACCAACAATTGGAAAATTATCAGGTATTTTTTTTTTGTTTGCAATTATTTCAATTTATTTTAAAATTTCGTAAATCAAATTTTGTCGATTAGGATTGTACATATTTCGCTCGTCAGGAGATACTTACGTAAGTTTTGTTTTAATTTGTTCAAAAATGTCTTGGATTTTAATTACCAAAAAATGTTTAAGTGTATACAAACGATTTCGAGATATAGATCCAAAAATTGTACCAAACGTTATGACCAAAGATGAACCACATACTATATCGATACCGATGGAAAAAATAATCAAAATGGCCGAATTAAAAGAAAATCCATTCAAAGAAAGAATATGCAAAGTATTTTCACATGATGGAACAGGAAATTTAACATTTGATGATTTTATCGATATGCTTTCTGTGTTTAGCGAAAATGCTAGCCGTGATCATAAAATATTTTTTGCATTCAAAATATACGGTTTGATTTTAAATCCAATTTAAAAAAAAATGAATTAAGTGATTGATTTAATATTTCTAGATTTTAATGGTGATCAATTGATCAATGGTGATGATGTTGAACAAGTTGTACAAGCATTAACACGAAATGAATTAAGTCAAGATGAAATAGCCATTGTAAGAGAAAAAGTATTGGAAGAAGCTGATATCGATGATGATAAATGTATTTCATTTTCCGAATTTCGACATGTCATTAGCAGAGCACCAGAATTTCTCAAGTTAGTTTTTTTTTATTAGCAAATTTCCTGCAAATGTCATTAATATTTTTTTCGTTTTTGTTTTTCAGTACATTTCATATGCGAATCTAAATTGTTCCAGATCCAAAAAAAAAAAAGAAACAGATATTGTCAACTGACAACTGATTTATTCAATCATTTTTTTTAACAGTAAAAATAGATATTCTAATATTGATTAACAACAACAAAATAGTATAAATTTCAATAGATAATAATGATAATAATTTTTAAAAAATAAATTTCAAAATTTTTACTACAAATTCTGACATCTAGCGTTCAAAATGATGACTAAAAAAACGCTTTGCGTTTGAATTTCTATTTGAATTCATTCCCCAAAATGGTAGATTAAATTTATCCATTTAAAATTCCCTTAAAAAATATTCTTCAAAACTTGTTAAGGCATCAAACGGTTGCCGGTTATCGTCGGTTATTTTTGAGCATTATACATTGCTTCGATATTATCTTGAAGAAGTTTAAATTGTTCTGTCAAATTAGAAAAAAAAGTTACAAAAAAAAAATTACGTTGATTTGTTTCATTCATACCATTGGTTATATTAGCAATCGTACTCTGTTTTCGTAGAAATTCTAAACAAAATTCTTTAGGTAATCCAAATGAATTCATATTATATGTAAATGTACTATATATGGATTTAATAAGAAGAATTAAAAATGTAATGAATAAAAATGAATAAATATATTTACCCTAATTGTCCGAAAGTTAAATTTGCATGAAATTGCCAATCATAATATTTATGATTTGGTTGATCGCGATTATTTTCATAAAAATTTGCTCGTTCACATTGGATGGCATCGAAAAAAGCAGCATTCCAAAAACGTTTTAATTTCCAAATTGGTTGATCACGTAATACTGTACAAAGATATTGTTTATTATTTTCCATTGTTGATATTGAAAATGAAGAAGATGATGATGATGATTGTTTTGACCGTCGATTATTGGTCATTGTTGTTTGTAGTTGATAATGATAAAAAGTAAAACACATGTTCATCAATATTTTGGCCGGTGTAAAATCATCAGATTCAGCACATTCAAATAATATGATGGCAAAATATTGTGCCAAACTATAGAATGTTGACTCTTGGACACATTTATTATCATTACGTTTTCGATTGATATATCGAGCAAACCAAAGTCTACCATTTTCCATTCGAGAATAATAACCAAATTTGGCTTTTTCTTCCAAACTAATCGATGAACTTTTGAGAAAAATTTTCTCAACAAATTGTTTCATAAAATATTTTGCTTCTCTAGATAATTCATCCTGATTTTCGGTGGTTACACTACATCCCGATGAACTTGAATTCATCGATGAACATCGTTTGAACATTGATTCTTGTTCATTTTCAAATGATTCAACACTGGTACCGATATCGCTTACTATCCAATCTTGATTCTTTTGACAATCAATCGTTCGTAAATCGGATAATGATGTTGAATTACTATAATTACTATGATTAGATTCACTGAAATCTAATGAATCTAAACTTTTCCAATGATGAGAATTTCGTATGTTTATTGTTGAAGGATCCAAATTAATCTGCGGTTGTCCATATATGGAACGATTTTTTTTCGATCGTTGAATAATTTTCGGTGATTTATTTTGAGCATTATTTTCATTGAATGTAGAATCCCATTTTGTTGAAATTTCATGTAAAATATTTTCTTTAAACATTTTCAATTTATTTGTTGATGAATCGATTAATTTTATACTGTCCATGATGTTTGAATGCACTTGAAGATTTAGTAATGATCAATATAGGAAGACATTGGATATTTTCGAAAACAATATTCATCAAACAATGAATAATGAATTTGAAATTGGATTTTTTTTTTTTTGATTTAATTCACGATTTTATTATCACCAACCTGATTGCAAACACCATAATCAATCAATCAATCAATAATATACAGGTGTTTGACAAATCAACATGATGATTATGATTATTGAATGAAAATAAAATTCGTATTTTTGCGAAACCAACAACAACAACAAAAATTGATCTGTCACGGATATGAAACATACACGAACATTGTGAAATGTTTGTGTAACACACGCACACAGACTGAAATTGATAGAATTAAAAAGAAAAATTGAAATTTTCAAGAAATATTTTAAAACATCATCATTTGGTTTAGATTAGATCCACCAAAAAACGAAGATGAATCAACCGTAACAATCAAAGAGCATGAATTTGGAGCATGTGTGTATTGATCTCTGAATAAAATGAAGCAAACAAAAATAAAATAAATTAAAATCTAGTTTATTTGCATTATTGATTTCGTAAAAAATTTTTCCAAAAATAAGTAGTGATAAAATTGACGTCACATTGAAAATTGCCGGCTATATACATTTCCTTCGTTGTCTATAGCCAAATGAATGAACGAAAGAAAAGAAAAAAATTTCCTTCCGGACATTTGAAAAAGGTCAACGCGTGTATAACAATTGTAAATGTTTTTTCTTTTTCTGTTTATTTGTGGGTAGGGAGTGTCTTTCGTATTTTAATACGTGATAAAAAATTTGTAGCCAAATATATTGTATATTTATCTGATTATGCGCGAATTTTCTTCTTTTTTTTCTGATTGAGTATCCAAATGGATATATTCCACAATAATAATTGAAAATGTGAATGAAATTTTTTCTTTCATTTTTTTTTGGTTCCATTCTGTAAAAACGGCTTCAGTCGCGCCATCTTGTAACCTTTGAAAAAAAGAAGATTTTTTTGAAAAAACCCAATTTTATCAATTGTAAATAGAAAAAAGGAAAATTTATCATCGAAATTAAAAGAAAATACAAAAAAATTCCATCAATGGATGCTTTTTGTTTCTGGTAATGATTTTCAATTTAAAAAAAATGAAATAGTAAAGACATGGGATAGAGAAAAAGAAGTCCATAATGATTATGATTATTGACTTTTTTTTAAAGAAAAAGAAAAAATAAAAAAGATTAGATTGAGCATATAGTGTACATTTGGATGATAATAATCATCATCAATTCAACATATTTAGATGATAACATCGATAGAATATTGGTACTTGATTAGATCGATCATTAAAGAAAAAGAAATGGGAAACAAAATGCGTCGCCAAGTTGATGACAACGATGCCGATATTGGATGGCGATATGGATTTCATATATCAAATTTTTTTTTTGTTTCTCAAACATTTTCACAAATAGTAAGGGGAGAAAATTTGTTCTTTTTTTTTGTTCTTAGGCCACGAATAAACATTAGACGCCAATCAGTATCAAGTATCATCATCTTCATCATTATATTATGATGTGGCCATGCTGTTTATTAAAACAAATCATTGAATAACAATCCGAACAAGCTAAACAAGAAACAATTTTACTTAAAAAATTATTTCCATTTACAAATCATGAATATTTTTGTTTGTATTTTTTCAATATTAATTAATAATAATTCAATCATCTAATATTTTTAGATTTTGATCAATGAAAATCTTTGAAATTTTTCTTCTCTTAAATTGATGTTTATGTATCTGTGTCTATAATGTACCTTTGAACCTTTAGTCGAAACAAATCAACACCGAAATGTTTGTCTGTGTTTGAACATGGATAGATTACACAGATGATTTGGAATTGAATATTGTTGTTGTTATTTATTTTCTTTTTTTTCCTTGAAAATTGACAATCTTTATCCATAATCACATAATCATCATCATCATCATCATCATATTTGCCCAAATAAATTGTTTTTATTTAAAAAAATCGATTGACATGAACATTGATACTTCATGTTCTTCATCACCATCATCAACATGTTCAACATCATCATCATCATATATAACTATTACATCAAATGGTCCTGTTATTCAATCACAACAACAACAACAACAACAGAATGATAGAATTTTAAATAATAATAATAACCAACATCAACATCATTGTCATCATTATCATAATCAAATACCACAAACATCATCATCATCATCATCTAATTCTAATTGTCAAATTAGACAACAACGATCCAACAACGTGAATGATGTCGATTTTCAAGATCTATCTACATCAACATCAACAACAATTACAGATAATACAAATCCAATTATTGTACAGCAACATATATCATCGATTGATAATATCAATCAACCATCATCATCAACGACAACTATCACTATCTCTACTAATCATAATAATAATACTAATAATCATTTTCATAATCTACAACAACAAAGACAACAATCATTAATCCATAATCAATCAACATCGTGTTTGCAACAACAACAATCACATTCACATCAAATTCCAGGTGTCATTGTACAACAGAATAATCATTCACCAATCATTTCAACACAGCAACGTAAGTAAAACAAACAGTTCGTAAATGATTTTTGCAAAGATGGGTACTTAGATCAAAATTTTACTATTTGCCAACACTAGATGACTCTTAAACATTGATAATGGATTTGTTTTTTTCATAAGAAAAAAAAGATCTGATAAAATAAATTTTCATTTAAATGGAAATAATTTTGTTTTCTTAAAAAAAATATACATAATATTCGAGGGAAAAAAGAGTATCATTAGACTTTTTTTGTGCCAAGTGTTGGCAAACAATTTTTTACTGTTATAGTCATCAACATTGCTTATCAAATTGATCAAAAAATCGAATGATGAATTGATCGGTTTTTGATGATAGCAATGATTTTGCATTGAAATGATTATATTGGATTGGTTTTAATTTGAAAAACAACAAGGTTTATTTCAACATTCAGAATAGATGAATATTACAAATATGTCACATCAATTCCAGGAAAATTCAATATTTCTTGTTCCGAAACGAATTTTTAAATCCGTGGATTAATAAGACAGACAAAAGTAAATGGAAACAAAAATCAAATCCAAAAAATAAGCATATGACATCAAGGATCATTATTGTAGTTTCATTTGAAATGAAACAAAACTATGACTGTGTAATTTTTACCATCTATACAAACACTCTCTTAGTTCACCTACAATTGTCCGTGATGCAAAAACATAAAGATAATCATCACAACATTAGTGTAATAACAATAACAATAATGATAATTAAAAATTTAATCAAACAAAAAAAAATGATAATTAGATTTCAATTATCCTTGGCATTCAATTTTTCTTTTCTTTTTTTTATTATATTTGGTTTCATAAATAATGAAAATTTTATTATAACCACAGAAAAAAAGTACGATACAAATCTATATTCATTCATTTATCATCACCTGATTAAAATTCCATAGAATAATAATAAAAAAAAGTTGTAAAAAAAATCAATTAGAATTGTACCATAATTCGTGCGTGTGTCATAATAATGATAATTTCATTTAAAGTCTACTTGAAATTGTTTTTTTGTTTCTTTACAACATACAGTCAGCAAAAGATTTAGTAGATTTATGGTGATTTTTCTCATTGTATGTATCATTAATTTTAAAATCATCAGTGTAAGTAACAATCGTTTCAAAGATCATTGTTATTTGTCGTTGTTGTTGTCCGTTATTTGTCATCGTTGTTGCTGGTGAATCGTTTATGGGCGGCCAATATCGATTGATGATTATTATCAAGAAAAATAATCAAATCTGTTAAACTAGAGTTGTTGACCATTTTGGTCACCAAAAAAAAAAATCTAAAAATTTGTTAATCAAACATCAAAAACAAAAAAAATATAAAGAAACAAAAAAAAAAAAAAAACATTATCAACTTTGTCGCTATGAAAATTTGTTCATCGTCACACTTTATATTCATGCATACAATATA